ATTTAAGATCAGGAGCTAGCTGGGAGTGGTGGCGCACACCTTTAATCGCATTACTTGGGAGGCAGAAGCAGACAGAGCTCTGTGAGTTAGGGGTTCGAGGCCAGCCTGGTCTTCGGAGTTCCAGGACAGCCAGGGCCACACAGAGAAACCCTGTCTTGAAAAAACAACAACAAAAACAAACAAGCAAAAACCAGAAAATTCAAATACTGATGAGGATATAAAAAAATCGGAACCTGTTCACTACAAGTGAAAATGTAAATGTACCAATGTTGTGGAAGACAGTATGGCAGTTCTTCCAAAAATTAAAAATAGAAAAACTGTATAATATACAGTGCTTAGTCTTTTGGGTATCTATCCAAAAGAGCTGTACAGTCTTGAAGAGATGTGCAACCCAAATGGCCCCTGAGGGAAGAGCTGATAAATGAAATGTAAATCCGTCTAGTGGAATACTTACTTCTAACTAAAGGAAATTCAAGCTAGCCATGGTGGCGCAGGTCTGTAATCTCAGCACTTGGGAGGCAGAGGTGGAAAGGTTGTTCCAAATTTGGAAGGAGCTTGTTCTGCTCAGCAGGTTCTGGGCCAGCACAGTGAAAATGTGTTGAGAAAATAAGATTTTGCAGCATACAGTGAGACACAGATGGATCCTGCAGACATGCTAAGTGAGATAAACCAGCTACAAAGATCCTGTAGAGTCTAGGATTTCATTTAAATGACAGACTAGTCAAAAGCAGAGCTGAAGGGGGAATTGTAGTTTCCAGTAGCTGAGGTAATGAAAGTTTCTGTTTAATTTACAAGACACAAAGTTGTAGTGATGATAGTGGTGATGACTGTATAACAACGTACATGTGTCTAGTACCACTGTGTGTTTTATATGGTTAAAATAGCAATGAGCATTAAGTCAAAATACAGTTAAATGTCATTCATGGACATGCAAATTGTGTCCAGTAGAATGCAATTGGATCCTGGCTCTGTTAGGATACCTATTTCACATCAATTTACAAATTCACTTCGAAATTCTTTATTGTGTGTGTGGTTCTTTGAATTTCTCTCCAAACCAGTTCCATCAACAGTTAATTTATGTCTGATATGTTCAAATTTTTGAAAAGTCAATATTTTTTTTTTTTTTTAAATAGGGTCTCACGGGGGCTGGAGAGATGGCTCAGAGGTTAAGAGCACTGACTGCTCTTCCAGAGGTCCTGAGTTCAATTCCCAGCACCCACATGGTGGCTCACAACATCTGTAATGAGATCTGGTGCCCTCTTCTGTGTACATAATAAATAAATAAATTTAAAAAAAAAATAGGGTCTCACTATGTAGAGCTGGCTGGCCTGGAATCAGATCTTGTAATGGACCTGGGTTTGGTTCCCAGTAGCCATGTATCAGGTGGCTGACAACCACCTGTAACTCCAGAGGCTCTGACTCCCCCTTCTGGCTGCCTCAGGTACCTGCATTCATATGGTGCACATCTATTGGAAAATTGATTGATGGGATCTCACATATCCCATGCTGGGTTCAAACTCTCTATGTAGCTGAGGATGATTTTAGACTTCTCTTTTTTAAAGATTTATTTATTTATTATGCATACACTATTCTGCTTGCACATATCCCTGAAGTCCAGAAGAGGGCACCAGATCTCATTACAGATGGCTGTGAGCTAGCACGTGGTTGCTGGGAATTAAACTCAGAACCTCTGGAAGAACAGCCAGTGCTCTTAACCTCTGAGCCATCTCTCCGGCCCCGATTTTGGACTTCTTATTCCCTAGCTTCATCTCTTGAGTGCTGGGATTACAGGTGTGTACCACTGGGTTGAGTTTATGTGGAACTGGGGTTGAACCTAGGCCTTTGTGCATGGTTGAAAGGCACTCTGCTAACTGAGCTACATCCCCAGCCTCACTAATCCTTTTTAGTAGTATTTGTGACTGGGGCTGGAAAGGTGGCTCAGTGGTCAGAAGCCCTTTCTGGTTAAGAGAACTTGCTGCTCTTTCAGAGAACCCGAGTTTGGTTACCAGCACTCACACCAGGCAGCTCAGCACCACCTATGACCCCCAGCTCCAAGGGATCCAGCGTCTTCTTCTGGCCTCCGTGGGTACTTACATTTCCCTACATTCCAACTTGAAGGAGCTGTAGCGAATCATTTCTTAGAGTAAGCTTTGCTCTGGGTTTGTGTGCTTGTGTGTGCATCCTTGATCTGAATTGTACCTTCCTAGCTAGTTTGCATCTACCTTTCAGGACCCAATTTAGAAATCTCTCTCCCCAGAAGCTTTCCTTCCCACTTCCTACTCAGTTAAAAGTTCTAACAACACTTGCCTGTGGTCAGTAACTCTGTCGGGTGTTTTTCTTCTTTCCTGTCTTCCTCCTCCCTGTGGAATCTGTTATTATCAGGAATTACTGCATTCATTTGATTGTTTTCAGAAAATGTTTATTGGATGTTCCAGTGTGTAAGTAGAGATGACTGCATCTTAATTACCTTAGTATTAGCTGTTTACAGATCACTTGAATCTACTAAGTACTTTTCTTAGCTTACCTGAAGCAGCTGGGGTTGGGGATTTAGCTCAGTGGTAGAGCGCTAAGGCCCTGGGTACATCCTCAGCTCAAAAAAAAAAGTCTACAGTAGAGAAATACTAAAGCTACTTCAGAAAGTGAAGGTGGTTTAAATATTTGAAATGTACAACTTCCTCTTCTTGGTCATCCTGGTTTCATTTGTGTCTTATAGAGAAAACAAGAGGAATCTGATTTAACTTACAGTAAGGAATTTGATAAGACTTTTTAAATTACCAAATACTTAAGTGATCTGTAAGTTATATAAATGGTTTTTTCCCTAAAGTCAAAAAAGGGCTGGAATGTAAAACCAGGCTTGGTTATACATGCCTATAATACTAGCATTGGGGATGGAGAGGCAGAGGCAGGCTGTTCTCTGTGAGCAAGTTTCAGGATAGGCTCCTAAGCTACACAGAGAAACCCTGTTTCCAAAAACCAAAACAAACAAACAAAAAAATCTAGCATTGGGGAGGTGGAGGAAGGATTACCACAAGTTTGGGGTCAAGTTGGTCTTTATGTAGCAAATTCTAAGTCAGCCAGGGTTACAGAGTGAGACACTGTTTAAAAATAAAACAACCAACAAACAAATGAAACAAAAATCACCACCAACTCACCCAAAAGGGGTCAAGGGCTAGGGAGTCCGTGGTAAAATGCATGCTTGGCATGTATGAGGCTGCCTCAGGTAGCTCCCCAGCACCGGATGGGGGTAGGGGAGTGTTAAAAAATGGCAAGTGAATGGTTATTAATTGTGAAATGGTTTACCAGTATTTCCCATAGACTTAAAAACCTTAGAGGAGGGCTGGAGAGATGGCTCAGAGGTTAAGAGCATTGGCTGTTCTTCCCAAGGTCCTGAATTCAATTCCCAGCAACCACATGGTGGCTCACAACCTTCTGTAATGAGATCTGGTGCCCTCTCCTGGCCTGCAGGCATACATGCAGGCAAAATACTATAAGGATGTAAGCAAGTAACTGGTGTGCTTGTTTTATGTACAGGTATTTGAAGTCAGATTTGGAATTATTATCTGTAAGTATATGAGTTTGGAAGTGCTTCTTTCCATCTGCTTGTGAACTCTGCTTAGTATGTAGGTCAAGATGGGATACTCTGAGGCTCTGATACAGTACCTGATAGATACAGTGTAGGTGTTTACTAAGTACCTCTCTGCTTGGGTGAGTTTGATCCCGTCTTCTGTTGTAAACAGATTGATCAATAAATTAACGAGGATACAGGGAATTCTTTCTTTTTGTTGTTGTTGTTTTTTGTTTGTTTTTTGAGACAGGGTTTCTCTATGCTGTTTTGGTGCCTGTCCTGGATCTCCCTCTGTAGACCAGGCTGGCCTCGAACTCACAGAGATCCACCTGCCTCTGCCTCCCGAGTGCTGTGATTAAAGGCTTGCACCACCACTGCCCGGCGGAAATTCTCTTATGACTGTAGACTAATTTATTGTTAGACTATCTTATTCTGTGACTCTTTGGAAGGTTTTTCTTTTTGTTGTTGTTTTGTTTTTGAGACGGTTTCTCTGTGTAATAGCCCTGGCTGTTCTGGAACTCACTCTGTAGACCAGGCTAGCCTCGAACTCATAGAGATCTACCTGCCTCTGCCTCCGAGTGGGGATTAAAGGCGTGCCGCCACCACCGCTGGCTTGAGATGTTTTTCTTATCATCAGCTTTCAGATTGGTTAATCTCCCCTGGCTCTGCCCTCCCCCTCCCGGGCGGGCGCGGTTGGGGGTGGGGATAGGTTGTGTGTGTGTGTGTCTGTGTCTGTCTGTCTGTCTGTCTGTCTTATGGAATAGAAGATACAGAGCTGGTTTTTAAAGGAGTCTTGAGTTTGAGGAAGAATCACCAAGAATGCAGGGTTCATGTACTGCACTCTTAAACAGGACTTTAGGTGTAGAAAGGAGCCATAGTTCCAGCAGAGGTGTCTGTTTAGGGAAGTGAACCAGCCAGTATGGTAGCTATAGTAGAGAAGCCAGAGCCATCAAAGAACTTAGGTGGATACATTGTTACTTTATCTTTTTACAAACCTACCTTAGATATTAAGTAATTTTAAATCAATATTTTAGATACTCGAGTTTGTTTATATAGGTCAGCTGAACTAGTATAGTAGTGCTACCAGAAGCCTCAGAGTGAGAACTTTTATCTTAAATGACTCACTCTCAGGGCTGGGTGTGTTCTTCAGTGGTTAAGAATGTGTACTCAAAGCCGGGAGTAGTGGCACACACCTTTAACCCCAGCACTCAGGAGGCAAAGGCAGGCAGTCTCTGAGTTCAAGGCCAGCCTGGTTTGCAAAGTGAGTTCCAGCACAGTCAGGGTTGTTACACAGAGAAACCTTGTCTCAAAAAAAAAAAAAAAAAAAAAAAAAGAAAAGGAAAGAAAGAAAGAAAAGAAAAAGAAGACTTAGATTGTATGAGGTCCTGGGTTCAACTGCCAGAAAGAGATTAATTTTTTTTTCTGTTACTTCTAGGTTAAGTAGCAGACGAAGACATTGTATTTTGAAATATGATTAATCTCCTGATGCAGCACCAGAGGCTAACAATATTAATGGCCAGATCTAGGTAAGTTGAAATTTACCTTAAAAGAAAGGACCAATCAACTTAATAGTGTTTTGTTGAATGCAGTCATGTTGTGTTTTGATTTACTGACTCCCCCATTCCCAGAAAATAAATGCAAGTGCTTTAATTAAACAAACACAGTATATCAGGAAGCGTGTGGAAGTTAATCACAGATGAAAGCTACCTGTTGTTGTTGAATGTACTCAGATGTCAGTGTTGTCCTGGGGGACCATAATATCTCTTACATATGCACTGAGTTCTGGAGAAATGTACTCATGAGAGCAAATGGTTATTCAGTGTTTAAAATGCCAGTGAATATTATGAGGTGTCATAACTGAGATGTGGTCTCCAGATACTAATCTGCTCTTCACAAATGGGAACTATCCAGCACCTCGTCTTCCCCTTTGCCCATGAGACTGTGGGTCAGAAGGAGGGCCTTGGAGATTTGAATGGAAATTTCACATCTTTGGGCAATACACAGCCACTGCAGTCAGGAGCTCTCACCAGCTCTGAAGTCCACACAGAATGGGCTTGTCCACAGCAGGCATGGGTGGAGGAGGGGCCCAGGGCCCCACCCCTCGCTGCAGAACCATTTCTTACTGATGGAGTCAGAGAGAGGAGGAGTCATTACCTTCAGTTGTCATGCGCTGGTGACCGTGGCAGCTTCCAGTGTTAGTCCCAGTCCAGTAGTCCCAGGTATGGTCCTGGTTAAACTGAAGGAGTCACACCAAGACCAGAGTCCAGGAACAGACAAGTGGAAGGAGGATGAAGAGATGGAGAAGACCAGAACAACCAGAGTGCATTGTGCACATCAACGAGATTGTCAAAACACTGCATTCATTTCTTTGTTTTTTCTTAAGATTGATTTGTCTATTTCATGTGCATTGGTGCTTTGCCTGTGTCTATTCTGTGTGGGGGTGTCGGATCCCCTGGAACTGGAGTCACCGACAGTTGTGAGCTGCCATGTGGGTTAAATTCCCTTTCTAAACGGGTCTCTTTCCCGCAGCTGGAGTGTGAACCACTGCCTGTGTTCAGTGCTGGAGCTCCTCACAGGGACTGCGCCTCTGCTCCTGTCATGTCCAAACCTGGTCCTGCTCTGCGCCTCTCCTCCTCCTTCCCCTCCTCCTCCCCACTGCTGGCCGCCTCTCCCTCCTTCCCCTCTCCCTTCCCACTGCTGGCCGCCTCTCCCTCCTTCCCCTCTCCCTTCCCACTGCTGGCCGCCTCTCCTCCTTCCCCTCTCCCTTCCCACTGCTGGCCGCCTCTCCTTGGCTTCTTCCCTGTCCAGCACTCTTCATTACCAATGTTTTGACACTTGTTTGTCTCCCTTACTCTCACACTCTAGGTCAGACGAGCCCTCTGACTGCTGAGTGCCACCAATAAAGGGCCTCATCTTGTCCCCTATCCTCTGCTGAGATTGCCTCGCCTAGAAACCTAGCTACCCTGTCTTAATTTGGGTTTTCATTGCTGTGAAGAGACACCATGACCACTACAACTCTTATAAAGGAAAACATTTAATTGGTATAGTTCACTTACAGTTTCAGAGGTTCAGTCCATTATCATCATGGCGGGGAGCATGGCGGTGTGCAGGCAGACATGGTGCTGGAGCTGAGAGTCCTACATCTTGCAGGCAACAGGAAGTCTTCTGACTGTCACACTGAGGGAATCTTGAGAAAAGGAGACCTCAAATCCCACCCCTACAGTGACATACTTCCTCCAACAAGGACACACCTCCTAATAGTGCCACTCCCTTTGGAGGCCATTTTCTTTCAAACCACCACATTCTACTTTCCTAGCCATATCATAACACAGAAAATGCATTCAGTCCAACTTCAAAAGTCCCCATAGTCTATAACAGTCCTAAACATATTTCAGAGTCCAAAGTGACCACCTGTAGAAATCAGAATCAAAAAGCAGAGCACATATGTCCACATAATGTCACAAGATATGCATCACCATCCCAAAACTCAGGAAAGGGAGCACATCAAGGAAATACTGGACCACAGCAAGACCCAAGACCAGGTGGGCAAATTCTAAACTCTGCATCTCTGCATCTGATGTCAAAACGCTCTGCAGGTCTCCAATTCCATTCAGATTTGTTGACTGCAACACACTTCTTTCTCTTGGATTGGTTCTGCTCCCTGTTAGCATCTCTTCTCCGCAGATATCCCATGACTCTGCCATCTCTAACATCTTGGGTTCTCCAAGGCAGTCTTGGCTGCAACTTCACAACTTCATACAATGGCCTCTCTAGGCCTGCATTCTGGGACACCCCTAACATGTGCCTGGCCTCATCAGCTGTCCTTAGGCTCGGAGGCAACTTCTGTAACCCGTTTCTTCTGTCATTAACTCTAAAGCCAGAACCACATGGCCGAAGCTGCCAAGTTCTGTTGCTTACTAGGGTTGGATCTTGGCTGCCTTTTTAAATTACATCTTTACCAGCTTTCTGTTTTTGTTCACTGCCTAAGCCTCGCTGTCCTTGAACTTGATCTTTAGACCAGTCTGTCCTCAGACTCAGATCCTCCAAGCTCTGCCTTCCCAGTGCTGGATTAAAGGCATGCCCCACCACCACACCTGGCTATATAAACTTTTCTTTAATTCCTTTCCACAAGTTGGAAACCAGCTGGGTGGGATCTTGCCTTGAGGTCACCACTCCCTTTATTCCATTTCTTAATCAACTTATCTCCTTGAACACAGAATTTATATTTAGTCCACTTCCTGGTGCTCTTTTTCTCTCCTAAATTTACATTTTGTAATTTGCCCTGCTCTGCTTGCTCTTTTTAATTATAAATCTTCATTAGAGTTACCACTAATATTCACATGACAGAGTCTATTCTAGGTCCTTTTGAGATTTCTTCTGCCAATGAAATTAATGCAAAACTCTTCACTTTAGCCTCAGGCAGACTCTTTGGACAAGGGCAGCCACTTTCTTCACCAAAATACCACAAGAACGATCTCTAGGCTGTTGTGCCCAGATCGTGACCCCTAGAGAGACCACCAAAGACGAGCATGCCGGAATGCAAAAGCAAGGTTTAATTCTGGATATCC